ACCCCCACGTCCTCCCGGACGTTGCAGCGGCTACAGTGCCTCCTGAAACCTCCCAGGAAGTGTGACCTGAAGCAGCAGAAGGGGCAGGCGTAGCGTCCGGGCCGGTGAGCCTCTCTGATGTGCTGCTGTAATCGGCTGGGCAGGAAGAAGGTGTGTTTGCAGTCTTTGCAGCTGTAGGGACGCTCCACGTTGTGGCTGCGCACCACATGACTGATGGCAAAGCCTGCAACCACACACAGGTAGAGGTTTAACCCACAGCTGGTGCTGACTGAGGAGACATGCTAGAGGGGTCAGCACTCGGCTTCACCCACAGGCCAGGTCTATTTTCAGCTTTGTGTGTTTGTGGGTTCATGTGTTAGAGGCACAGTGGAAACAGACGTGTGTTTTTCCAGGATAAAGATTTTTACATGACTCAATTTCAGTTCTTAAAGTTTGCAAATGTTTTAGCAGCTAACTAATATTTTTGACATCAATTATCAATTAATCAACTACTCAGTCTGTAAAGTGTAAAAAACTGAAAAATACCCTGAGCCCAAAGAGTCAAGACTGTCTGAGAGGTTTGAGTCAAGTCTGATTCCTAAAGGACCCCTGTGTTGGAGGGGAAACTCATGGAAGTGGAGGCACTGAGCTCCATCAGTAGCGTCAGTACCTTTGAGTTTGGTCTTCCAGCCACAGATCAGACAGACGAAGCGGTTGGAGATGAAGCGGATCACCTTGGCCGTAGCCTCCATCTCCTCCTTCAGCAGCTCTCCACTCAGCCCTTCCAGCTCCTCCTCCTCCGGCCCACTGCTCTGCATCTGTTTGGGCATGCCGGCGTCTCGTCTGATGGCCTGGGTGGCGTACGGTTTTGGGATGTCATGTTTCCGCACCACGTGGTTGACGCCCAGAGCTTTCAGCTTGTTCTTCCAGCCACAGATCAGGCAGCGGTAACCAGCGCCGTCTGGCATCAGACCGCTCTCCTCTCCTTCTTCATCTGGTTTCACCTCCCTCTGGGACTCACATTCTTCATCGTGTCCCTCCCCTTCTTCCTCCTCAGCCTCACTGGTCCTCTTTCTTTTAAGGTTGTCCTTCCCTCTCTTCTCCTTCTGCTCCTCCTCCCCCTCCTCTCCCATCTTTTCCTTCTCTCCCCCATCACTCCCATCATCTCCTCCCTCTACTCCGCCCTCCCTCTCATCCATGCAGTGTTTGGAGATGATGTGCGTATACAGCTTAGTGAAGTCTCGGCAAGTGTAGAAGCAGCTGGAGCAGTGGAACAGCCGGGCGGTGCTCTGATATATCAGGATGTTGCCAAGGTGACCCACCGCCGTGTCGTCCAGGCAGGCTGGGTGAGTGGCCGCCATGTGGGACAGCTGTTGGGCATGGCTCTTGGACAAATGACCACAGTGGGGACACTGGAGGTGGGCTGCAACACCACCACCCACCTCATTGCGAGTCTGTATGATGACAGACATTGCTGCTCTTACAGAGGCTGGACAGAGACGAATACAGACAAGAAACACAAAGTAAAATGTGAAAAACGACCAGATTAAAATGCCGAGAGAATCAGATGACAATAGCTACAACTACTGATCATTTTCATACTGAATGAACACAATAGAAAACAACTTTATTGTCCCCATAAGTGGGAAACTTATTGAGCTCACCACCAAAACCTAAAAACAACACTATAACAAGTATCCTATACACTCAGTGGTCATTCTATTAGGTTCTCCTAGATAAAACTAATACAGTTTAGTAGTCCTGGAAAAATCCTCCTCCATGAAGGTGAGAATGTTCAGTTCGTGTTTAATAAACTGTATGGCCACTGTGGAGGCTGCTACATTACAGAGAGAGAGGAAGAGATGCAACATTTCATTAATTAGACCACTGTCAAAACCTGAATCTGCAACTATTTCTATAATGGTTTTAGTCGTGTTTTTCCACATCTGCTGGTTTTAGTTTCTCAAATTTTAGGACTTGATGCTTTGCTTTGTTTTATAATAATAACTGGAAACTGATGAGAATTTTTCACAATTTTCGCATTTCACATATCATGATTAGAATGAAATGGTTAACTGTACAAAAATAATTGGAATGAAGAATACATTATAACACCTGGATTTTATTTTTACTGTAACCAGATTTTATTTATATTTAGGCATATTTTCCAACCAAATGTTGATAATGGAAACAATATAACTCAATCAGAACATAGATGTGTCTCTTCTGCAAGTTTCACACGTTATTCCGGGTTTATAACTCGTAATAACGGGAATCAGCCTGGCTGCAAATCAGTGGAACAACGGTCCGCAGCTAACCGGCTAACCCCCAAGCTAATGCGCTTAAAAAGACAATAGTCCTGTGACCCACCTGCCCCTACCGCTGGCTGTGTTTATATGCAATAAAACTCCGCAATCTGACCTGATGAGAAATTCACTCGGGACAATAATTTTAGGGCATTAAAAGTTCCGTGTTTGGACCGAACCCACAGCGCTGCTTTCCCTTGCTGAGAGGTTGATGCTCATTTCCGTGTTTACACATAAAACGACCAATCGGCTCGCTCTAGCCGTCTGTTGACTGACCAATCATAATGATGGCTTTTAATCACGCTCTCGCCCTAGCACAATTATCGTGAGATTAGAATCCTGCCTCAGCACCATGAATATTCTTAGTTGTAATATTTTATAGATGCAAGACTGATCAAATAAACTGTATGCATTAGAAATAAATGCACCTACAACATTAATAATACTAAAAATAAATGACCAAATATAACTAAAATGCTCCAACATTAATTTGATTTTATTTAATAGTTAAGAGATTTTAAAACTGCTGATTGGTTTGTTTCCTGCTGTGATTACTGGGTGTGGAGAACTACAGATTCTGTGCTATCTTATTTAACAGCCTTACACAACATTAAAGATGGAGCATATTTTTATAGATGTTGTATGTGCTCCTGAGTAGCTTGGTTTCTCTCTTTCTCTCTCTCTCTCTCTCTCTCTCTCTGTATGTATCTATAGAGAGTAAAAGTAATTAATGAAGCTATTTCTATCTGGAGAAGCAAATACCTGCTGAGGAGGAGGAGAAGACTACACCTATCACCCACTTCAGTATGACGTCATCTTTCACCTAGATGTGAGTGTGTGAGGGAGATGCTTTGTTTGGTTTGGTTGCTGAGTGACGGTTGTTCTCAGCGGTCTAATTAAAAACCTCCAACAAAACCATTCATGTTCACTGATGGGTGATTCAGTACAGTCTTTATCTACTACACAGGGTTTTAGCCATGCTAGCTGTCATTTGGTTGGTCCACGACTTTGATCCAGTCTGAAACACAGTTGTGTTGAAACACACACACACACACACACAGAAAGTAAATGAAAAAGCATAAAGTTAGTTAGTACTTGAGGTCTTTGCTTAGCAACTCAACACAAGACAAATATCAGCATTTTTCTATAATTGTACCTTTTCCTCCTGCTTCCTAACTTTCATTGTTGCTCAGCAGCTGTAACACAACTTGATATGACTAAAACAGACAGTGATAAGGAGGCTTTTTTATTTTTAATAGGTTCACAGAAATAATCTCAAGATTTTTATCAAAATGCTCCCACACATATTTTCACACTTTCCTCATGTACTGTATCGCCTTTGTCTTGCAGGATGAATTCATGCCTGCAGTTCAAAACATATTTTTCTTTTTAACTAATATTTAAAGGTCAGCAAAAGAAGAATGTTTCTCCTGTGCTCTGTTGCATCTAGCGCCACCGCCAGGACAAACGTTACATCTACTCTATGAATAGATTCTAAACATGGACACAGGGTCAGCCTGTTTGTTCTGCCCAGCACTTGTATTCTTATTGTTTAAATTGATCATTATTATTATAATTTTATTTACTTATTTTAATTTTATTTATTTAGGCTACAATATACTGTTCTTCATTTGTTTGTGTTTAGTCTATTTGCATGTGTTTTCTTAAGGTGCAGTGCACTGAGCTTTCAGTGTCACTGGGATGATAACAGCTTTAGACTATTAATTTTGTTTAAATATGGGCTTTGGCCAACAATAAACACATTACAGCCTAATAAGCATCAACAGACATGATGTTTACGTTGAACATTAGCACCAGAATTGGATCAAAATGTTAACGGTTAGAGGTCAGCTGTTAGTCTGCCAAGAGTGAGAGACAGAGGGATGGGGGGAAGACACAAAGTTAGTGTCGAGCGAGCATTGGTTTGAGAGAGGAGAGAGAGGAGGGAGGGGGCTTTTACTGTGGTAGAACAAGGGAGGGGAGGCACAGGGAGAGAGAGGGAGAAATCTGTGCTTGAACTTTCTTTCACTCTTTGTTAGCAGAGATTCACTCACGCACACACTGTGCAACGTCGGTGAGCGAGGACAACATGCTCTGTTTAAAAGGTGAGGGGGTAGAGAGAGCTAGAAAATGCATGGAGAAGCATTCAGTGAAGAAGTTTGTGGAAATGCTGCAGGAAACAGAGAGTGCTTGCAAATGTGCTGTAAATATGAGTGATTGTGTGAGTTGGCGCTGAGCCTCTGGAGACCACACCAGCTGTGTGTGTTCAGATGCAGGTTGTTTGGTTTGCGAGCTGTCAGCACTGTCTTAGCACACACTGTTATCTCTCTAACCTTTCCTGTTGAAGTGTGGGGAGGGGGCGTCTGCCAGTGAGGGGGTGGACCGACCTTTATCTTGAGCAGAGAGAGGGGAGAGTGATGGAGGCAGAGTGTTGAATACAGTCTTCTCCAGATTACAGCTGCAGCTCTCTTTTGTGTTTTCTGCAACTGTTACTATGGTAACTGCTACTCATACTACTGCGTCTCACTGTTGCATGTGTGTTGGTCAGTGATGACTGCTGGCCTGTCGAGGCAGGCTGAAACATCCCATTCAGCTTCCAGAGCACAGCTGCTCCTGCTGCTTCTGCAGTATTGGCAGCACAATAACCTGCTTCAGAGATGGGCGATTATTAGTGTGACTAATGAGTTCCTTTGAGATGGAGTCGACAGCTGCAGGAACAAAGTTTATTATTACAGTTGTTAGAAATATTTAACTGATTAATTGAAGCTTTCTTTCTGTCTCAGAGCATCCATCAGTGACAGAACCTCTCTGAGCAGAACTCCAGCAACAATGATGTTCATGTCAAAAATGCAAATAAAAGTATCAGGGGAGACGTGACAGATGATAGAGCAACTGAAGATTAACTGGGCTGCTCTTGCCTCTCGGTCAGGTGACCACAGCGTGATCCACTGCACACTGAACCCGTGATCCGTCATTAGATTAATGAACTGAAAAAGAAAAAACTCTTCCCTCTCCCGCCTTGGTTTGAAAAACATACGACTGTCATTTTTTAGGAGCTGTTGATGGGCTCCTTTTTAAGCCTGAATTCACAAGCACACACCCTGTAACATATTTTGATCGTACCTTTCTGTAATTGTGCAGGTGAATTTTAACTAAACAGTGGAAGTTGTGTGGATCTTTGTGGTTAGAGTTGTTCAACACTGAACTTGTGTTGTCTGATTCTGTGATCCAAATATAGAGTTGCCCAGTAAGTACCTGACCCTCACAGGCCATCTGCAGACCTGGATAATCCCTGTTAGCAGATTAGATGTGCAGAGCGAAGACGAAGCAGAACAACGCACTCATGAAGAAAGCTCAGGTTTACTGGTGATGTTTTTGGACTTGTGGGGGCTGGGAGAGGTCTGGGGTTTGGGGTTTTGAGGTCTGAGGGTTGTATTGTGAAGGAATGAGAAGACATGGAGATGCTACAAGTTTGACCTCGGACACTTCCACGTTCTGAAGCTTTTATGAAGTTTTTATGCCAAACTAAAAGCTCTTTTACTGTTAAATCTGTTTGAGCTTTCATTGTGAATGATGGACATTTTGAAAGGTTTTTGTTCTGAAGATGTTTGATTCTTTTATGATGGACCTAAAACATTTTGGAAATTTTGAGCTTCTACTGTGATGACTTGATAAATGGTCATGCTTTTATTGTGAAAGCTACAAAAATATGGGGTGTTTATTTTCTCTGACCACTGGAGGCTTTTTGTGAAGCATAGCACAAGTTTAGATGTTTTACGCTGGAACATCTGCGACTTGGTTTCTGTTCAGGGTTTTTATTATGGAAAAACTGATATTTAAGGATTTATTTATTAGCTGTATTCAAAGGTGTTTACTAGACATTTGTAGTGTTGAAAAACACAAATATACACTAGTACATTTTTTTTATTCATAAGACATAAAATAAAACCCTTTGGGCTTTTACTTTGAAGGACTTACTAAATATTGTTCCTTTACAGTAAAACATTTAATAATTTGAGGGATTTTTTATTTTATTTTTGAGGGAAGCCATTTCCTGGAAGGACTGAATGCTGTTTAGATATTTATTGTGAAGTTGTGTTCAACTTGGACAGATAAACAGACACAAGAGGTGTTTTTGATGAAAAATTGAAAATTCTCTTGGGCTTTTATTGTGAAAAGGTGTAGTTTTGCTAATGGTTGTCGTCTGGAATCTGTCCTGAATCCGGAGCCTGTCATCAAACAGCCAATCATCACAGAACAAGATGATTTCATACGTGGAGTGTCTGGGTGGTGAGGGGGCGGGGCCTGGTGTGGCGTCACACTGCTGGAACACGGGTCCTGATGAAGAGCGAGATGAGCTTCTTCCACGCAAGATGGCCGTCCTCCAGCCAAAAACAGAAGGCAGTCTGCGTCGTCGCCTGCTCAGTGCCAAAATCCACCAGCACCATAATGGCCTCCACAGGCTGGGGTCGCCCTCAGGTGACAAGAAGCCCCTCCTACCTCACCTTCAGTATCCAGGCAACAACCCCTGGTACCGTCCCCACCACCTGACACCACGACCCCATGTCCACCCTTCCTTTGCCCCAGAGGCTCAGGAGAAACGATTCCTTGCTCCAGAGGCTCATGGGAAACCCCACCCACTATGCTCACCCTATCAAGTGCAGCGCTCGGCCTGCCCCGTCCTTACACAGCTGTGCAGAACAAGTTCATTCCCCCTCACCCTGGAGCCCCACCCCAACTACAACCTGCCTGTCCCCCCACCTCTCAGTGTCCGGCCCCCTCTCAGGAAACCGGAGGTGCTGCCACAGTACTGTTACCAGCCCAGCAAAAGGTGCAGGACCAGCTTCTTCTGTTTTAGACACTACCAAGAGAGGAGCTCTAGGCTGGAGGCCACACAGACCACACCCCTTTTACAAAGAGGTACTGCCGGGAATTCTGAGTATTTGGTTGTGTGAATTGTTTTCATAAAGTACTGTTTCTAGAACTTAAATCACTTGTACAATTACCACCATGGTACAACTCTGTCTGGTCCTGAATGGTCCCCTTTAGCGTAACTTGGTTCTGTTTGGTCCTCAGTGTTACCAGCTGGTGCTCTTTGGCCCACTTTATTCAGAATGGCCTCAGCTAACCTGGGTAGGATCTCTTGGACCTGGAGCCATCTCACTTAGCCTGATTTGGCTCAGTTTTGTCCCACTGATCGCAGCTAACCTCACTCAGAGCAAATAGCCCTAACTGGTTCCATTTTGGCACTTCTGGGTCAGCTTCTTTGTCTGGCCCAGTTTGAACCTACATGGTTCTAGATAGCCTTGTTTGACTCGGTTTAGTCCTGTTTTCACTCTCTTTTGTCTTACTTGCCTTTGGCTTTGTGTGGTCCTACATTTTCTCAGATAACCTACTTGGATTTCTTGCATTCAGATTAAATCAGAGCTGGCTTTGTTTAGTCTTAAATACACCAACCCAGTTTGCCATTGTTTGGTCGTGAATGGCCCCACCTACCACCTCTGTTTTGTCTTAATTAGTCTTACCTAGTTTGGGTGGCTCTGGACAACCTGAGCAGCCCTTGCAGGACCGCAGCAGTCTAAGCAAAGATGCCCAGACTTCCCTCTCTCCAGACACTTCCTCCAGCTGAGCCACCTCAGCTGGCTCCTCTCGATGTGGAGGAGCAGCGGTTCTACTCTGAGCTCCTCCCAGGTGACCGAGCTCCTCACCCTATATCTAAGGGTGCACCCAGCCACCCTGCGGAGGAAGCTCATTTCGGCCGCCTGTATCCGAGATCTTGCCCTTTCAGCCATGACCCAAAACTCATGACCATAGGTGAGAGTTGGAACGTAGATCGACCAGTAAATTGAGAGCTTCGCCTTACAGCTCAGCTCCTTCTTCACCACGACAGACCGGTACATCGACCGCATTGCTGCATTTTATTCTGTTGAGTCCTGAATGTTCCCAGCTCTGAACGTTTGGCACTAAATAGTTTCAGCTCATCTGGTTTGGCTCTGTGTGTTCCTGAATGGCCACATCTTTGGATTTGTTTGATTTTATTGATCTCAGTTAGCCCGATTTGACCACATATTATCTTGAATGTTTATTCTACTCTTCTCTGTCTCATCTGAGTCCCCTAATGACTCCAACTTGCCTGGTTTGTCACTGTTGAATGGTCCAGAACAGGGGTGGCCAATTCCAGTCCTCGAGGGCCGCTGGACATTATCAATTCACTTTATCTTTCCTCACTCCACTTTCATCTAAGATGGTATCTTCCAGCTTCTGACTGACTGAACACACCTGAGCCAGGTAATCAGCAGCAGGTCAGGCCGGGATAGTTACAAAACAAGCAGGACAGCGGCCCTCGAGGACTGGAATTGGCCACCCTTGGTCCAGAATCACTCTAGTAAACCTTTTTGTGGCAGACGTTTTGATATGTCACAGCAGAAAAAGCACAGGTGTTAATAATGGTTAACATGACATGATAATGTAATTATGTCACAGATGTTTTCTGTGAAAATGTCTGTTAGCCCGGTTTGCCCCTGTTTGGTCAAGTTCTTATTGTGTTCAGGTCCATCATCTTTAAATCAGAATATTAATTCCAGAATCCTGGAATCAGTAAACTAACTGTCTGCAGATCTCTGCTGATGATGTAAACCCTAATAATATCTCTCCCACGCTGTCTGATCAATAATGTATCACAGCTCCAGTTAGATATTACTCTTACATAACAAGCAAACCAAAACACACAGACACACATACACCAGCTCCCTGTGTTCTCACTTAATTAGCTCCCCCATGTGTTTGATCTCCTCTGTGAGTGCGTCTATGTGCGACAGCAGGGATTAGCTGCAGCTCCAGACGCTAGGCTAATGGCTGATTCCTGTAATAACAGATGAACAGGCTTTAATGTGTAACAGCTGCCACCTGTTGCTGCCTCCGTCTGCATGTCAGCCTTGCAGTCCCACTAGCCCACACCTGGATCCATACGTTTATGTTACCCCTCATCACTTTGCATTTTTTCATTGGTTCCATAAAGTGGGGGAGGATGTATCAGTCTGGACGGGTTTGATTTTGATCCAGTTACGTTTCTGACCGAACAACAGAAGAACTAGACTTGAATTTGCTCAGAGTTCAGGGTTGGACATGTTTGGACTATATATACACACTGTGACATAATGACAGTGTGTCCTACTTGCTGTCTAATTAATTAATCTAATTAAAAACAGTGAAGTGGAGACAGACAGACGAGGGACATGCTGTCAGGCACAAAGACAGAGGTAATTAGCTGCTCCAGTGGCCCACATAGCTGGCACACTTACAGACTGGTGCTGTCCCCAATTGTGACTGATGGTGAAGGCGATCCTCTCCTCCATCACCATTCTGTTTACCGTTTGAGTTGTTTACAAATATCAACAAATGAAAATAACACCACAGAACAGGCGCACAATTTGCAGATAATGTTGATGTAGTATCTGTTCATGTGTATCATGTGTGTATGTGCAAACACTGCACATAAGCAACTTGTACACATTAACAAAGCACAAGTAATTAGAAAAAACTTCAGGGCATTTTTACGCCAAATAATCCACATGCTCCTCATCTAGCAGCAACTGAAATTCAGCCCTTTAGGGTTGGGAAATTTGCTCAGAAACCCTTTGAAAAATAATTCCAAAATACAGTATGTTGCCATTTTTTATTTGGGAATACAAACCACTAAAGTTTAATATCAGCTGAAATATGAAGACCTCACAGAGTAAACTGGAATGTAGTTTAGCTTTAACATGTCTCCTTCATGCCAGTCTGCAGCCACACTGTGCTTTGAGCTACATGCTAACATGCTCTTAAAAATAATGCTAACATACAGATCTTGGTCATCTGTAATGTTTATCATGTTCACCAACTTAGTTTAGCATGTTGGAATGCTTACATATGCTAATTAGCACAACACTAAGTACAGCAGAGACAGGAATGTCATTAGTTTTGCAGTTATTTGGACGCAAACCAAAGTGTGGTGAAAAGTCAGATTCACCAATGTTATCACAGTTTGTCCAAAATATCTGAAATGTCATCACAGTCCAACTAATAGTTGCTAAGATATTTCAGTCTGGAGCACAGTGGTGGATGCTGCCAGGCCTCGGGCCATGCTCACAGGCTAATAATGGCTAATACTGTTAAATTACGTCTTCCATCTCAGGTTTGATCAAACTGTTGGCACAGTCAGAAAGAAAGAGGGACAAAATAAATTACATGTGAAAATAGATCCTGAATCTAGTACTGTGGTGGGATTTGCTACAGGTCATGTAGTAGAGCTCTGCCTGACTGGTTGATCCCTTCACTAGTTAATTGAATAGTGACACTAAACTGACTAAAACATGAATTGTTTAAACACAGCTGACTTTTATTTTTTTGGTCAGGTAGAGGAAACAACACCGAAGATGAAAAAATCACTGTGTCCATTATTTTATTATACTGTATGTGTCCATAGCAGGACACCTTGTTGTGCATTGGTTGAGAATAATTCTGTCCTCACCCTTCATCCTGGTCCTTCACCAGCTGTTGGATGAAGGTGGTGACAGGCTGAAATGTCCTCACTTTGAAAAGGAGCAGAGGGAAACATGGTGAGGGCGGCGAACACAGAGAATAAAAGATGAGGAATCCTCACATCTAAAAAAAAAACACACTTTCAATTCTCTTTCTTCATGTCCATTCATCTACAAAGCACCAGGTTTTGTGAGTGTGTGTGTGTTAATGCAGTATCTGTGGGTAACCTTCATCACCTGGTGACACACATGCAGGACGCACACACTGGCTTTCTGCCAAAGCTTTCTGAAAGAAAGAAAGATAGAGTGGGGACGAGTGATGTAGAAGGAGAATGTAGGCTGGAGAGAGAGAAGTGGGAGGAGAGTGGCGTTGCAGCTGCATCAGTGCTGCTGCTGCTTGCCAGCGCTCACTCTATCTGCTGCAGCCTCAGGCGCATGTGTGTGGCGTCGTTATGGTTCTGATCGGAGCAGCGATCAAGTCCGTCCTCAGATATCTCAGTAAGACCACAGGTGAGTGTGTGTTCATTTTTGGATACAGGGAGTGTGCGTGAAGCGTCTTGTGTCGATGATGGACTGGGGCTTGACAGATGGGCGAGAGAGCATCACTTGTGTGTATGGAGAGAGAGAGTGGTAATAAATCCTGCCTTCTGATTGGCTTAAAGAATAAACATAGTTCAGGTCAGCAGTTTAACATCTGCTCTAAAGCAGAGCTCAATGTGTGTGAAACTGCAGGTAACCATAGCAACAATACCTGAATCATGAACGCCTGGAACTTCATCAAGGACCTTTTGAGCTTCCTCGAGGGCTTCCTGCACCTCTTCAAGGAGCTCTGGAACCACCTCAAACATCAGATCTTCTTTAAAGACTACTGGAACCTCCTCAGAGATCCCTGGAGGCTTCACAAGGACCACAGGAACTCTCTCAAGGACCTTCTCAAGGAGCTTGTTATGGACTATTTGGGGTTTGGGTCCCACTTAAGAAAAGATAGAACCAGCTGAACCACTCCTAGAATCCCTTGTAGGACCCTGGGGATGTCCCCTAGGACCCCAGCACCTCCTCAGGGACTCCAGAAATCTCTCCAATGGCTGCTGGGACTTTGCCTCATTTGTGTGTGTGGTACTTCTGAAAGATGCATGAACCCAGGTTGAGGAATCCTAGACCCTCCTCGGGGACCCTGGGGATCTCCTTGAAGATCATTTGAGCTTCCTTAAGAACTTCTGAAAGCCCCCCAAGGATTACCAGGGACCTCCTCAAGGATCATTTGTATCTCTGGTACTTTAAAAAAATGCATGAAACCAGCTTGTAATGTCCAGGAGCCTGTTCAATGACTCCTCCTCCCTGCAACCTCCTCAAAGTCCATTTGAGCCCCTTGAAGGATCTCTGGTGCTTCTCAAGGACCTTTTGATATCAGCGATATTGTTCAGCAACCCTGAACAAATTGCATCTGTAGCATTTCTCAAGGTTGCATTGAAAAAGTTCAAGGACTTTGGGAACCTGTTTAAGGCTGGTTTTTTTTAAATCCATTAAAAAAATGTTTATACTTCTGCTTTACTACATTTTATTGGGAAATACTGTACATTCTGCTGTTATATTTTTCTGAGAAGTTTAGTTTTTAGTTATTTTTACATATTAAACATATAATCATCATGTAAAATATGATGGGTTAAAAGCCCTCACAGGTGTTTTCAGTTACGTGGCTGAAGCTCTGTTGGAATTTATTAAAGCTCAGCAGTGACAATGGTACTTCATGTCCTGAAAATGTAGTACTGTGTGTTTATCTTGTTCTATAACATAAGAATTTGTGTACTTAAGATTTCAAAATCCATTTTCAGGACTGCATGATTCAATACGCTGAAAGGGGCCTTTCTGAAAAATGAGTACTTTGGATACTTAAAATACCTTTTGCTGGTAATACTTGTGTGTTTTCTTCAGGACTTGTAAGTATTTTTACACTGTAGTATTTACTGAACTAAGAATACTTCTTCTACCACTGTGAGTCTCTCATTCTATCAGTTCTATCTTCCTCAGACCCATCATATTTCATATGTTTCCTTTAGATTACATGTTTTTGTTTTCTGATTTTAATTTAATAGGGCTGTGTGTTTTTGTGGAGTCCTGGGCTCTGGAGCACAAACTGAAAACATAAAACACGTCCTAAACAAATGAACCATACAGATTAAATTTTCACTTAAAATCAGATCATTTTTCAATAATTGAAAAGACCTTGTGTCTCTGATTTACGCCACAGAAGTGAGACATGGTGTGAAGTGGTTTGCATTGTGCAGTTGTGTATAATTGCATGATCACACAATGACTTGTGTTGTATTGTAAGTTGGGTTTGCAGCTCTGATGTTTGAGATCAGAAGCTGCAGGAAACCGAGCCTTTTATCTTCACATCTGTCCACTGAATACCACAGCTAATCAGTCTGCTGCTCCTTCACAATAAAAGCCCTCTGGCATGGTCTCTTAGAGGTGACCTTGAGGAGTGCTGAGTGCAGCACTGCTGATCGCCGATGTTCCTCACTGTGTGTGTGAATGGATCTGGTGGAACAAGATGAAACACAGAAACCAGTCACACACTTAACCCTGAGTTCTGCCCTCTGTCTTCTTTTCTGCTACAGGGGACGGGGACAGCAAGTGGTCTGTGCACTACACTACCCAGACGCCCCCACCGGGCCTGTTCTTCATCCCTGGAAAAAGGCAGCGCAGTGCTGATGACCTGCAAGGTCAGAGGTCAAAAACAATAATTGTTTTTCTTTCATGTGACTGGTTTTGTGGAACAGTTTGGACACAGCAGCCATTTGAATCAGTAGTTTTTAAACAGTTCAGCTTTTAGCTCATCTATCAAAAAAAAAAAAACAGATCTGTCCATAACTATAAGAAACAACTCTTGTCTAAATTTAAATGAGGGTTTGCTGAAGTCAATTTTATTTTATGGATGGAAAACCTAAATAAGAAAAGAAGATGTGCAGCTATACTTTTGTCACCTCCATTTTTAAGTTAAAGACATCTGGTTATATTTAGTTAGTGACACGCCTGCGTCCAAGGTTGTCACACAGTAGTTAAAGTAACTGCAACATTAGTGATGTTCACATTGTAGCAGTATTTCTACACTCTGATAATGGTACTTTTACTTAGGTTGAAGATCTGAGTACGTCTTCCACCACTGTGTAATACTTTGCTTTTAGAGTACACAAGTCAATTCTACCTTGGTTCACATGTTGATGTTAGGGATCTGTCAATTATAAGGTTGTCAAATGTAATGTTTTATTTGCTTTATTCTGTTAAAAAGTACATGACCACAGTAGTTTGAACAAACTTTGCTCCATGCAATAAGTGAAACAGAAATGGTTCAGTACTGTAGTAGGTGTACTGCATCAGAAACCCATTAGATTTATGATGAAAAGCCACATAACAGCCTCAGGCTACTGCCACTACTGCTGGTGTACAAAATGCAACACATTGGAAACTTCACACAAACACTTATTTTGGTGGGTTTTGCTCCTGATCCAGCCCATCTAATCAGTACATGTAACTGGTGAGTGCTGAGAGCAGACTGCAGAACGCCGCAGAGGTTGAACTGCAGCACACACACGTGCTGCTGCATCACTGCAGCTGCAGTGCCACATGTCACCCCCACCCTCACCCACAGGCAAAGGACCAAGCTTCCGCTGTCATGCATTTCAGCTTCAGCTGTAGTTTAACATAATTGTTTTCCTGCATTGTGGTAGCTTTTGCCCAAAATAATCAGATTATTGACTGATAACTTATTGATTACTGGCTACAGTATATGTACATCAGTGTCTTAACTTGCTTCTCTTCTCTCTCATACATGTTTTAATGTGTGTGTGTGTGTGTGTGTGTGTGTGTGTAGCGTGTAACGGGCTGACTCAGCATGGACCCGCCAGCTCTCACCGCCACCAGCCGAGCCCCGCCTCCTCTCCATCCGCTTCTGGCCTCAACCAATCAGAGGCCAGCACACATATAGGGTGGAAGAATAAAAGCCAGAATTTGGTTAGTGACACACACAGAGCCACACACACATGATATTATTGGTACAGAGATGGTATTGACTCATGAATATTAATAAGGCTGAACAGGCTGCAGCAGAGTCAGAGCCATAATCATGAGCTGTGGATTCAGTTAGAGGTGGCTGTGGGCTACACTCAGAGTTCTGTTTTATTTTTTGCCCCCTTTGTTCATGTTGGTAAATTGTCACCATAAAAAGAAGCCGAATTAGCTCTGATCAGCTCCTGTTTCCAGTGAACCCACAGAGCGTGATCTCTGAGTCCCCGTGGTACTAAACAAAGCCTGAGGATTCTCAGGCAGGTTCTTTTTTCTATAGTGTATGTAAGCAGATTTGTTTAGGTTTATTTCTAATGGACACCAAACAGTGAGAGCCTTTAGAAGTGTATATTGTGTAGATGATGACTGGCTCGTCTGGATCTTGCTCTGAGGCCTCACCTGTTCCCTGCAGCTCTGGAGAGTTATTTTATTTTACTGCCACCTGCTGGTCAAAGTCAGCTACTAACACAGTTCTTTGTATCCCGTTTACTTTCTCCTTTCTCATGGACACTGACATACTTTTCTTTCATCCACGTTTTCTGTCTCTCGTCCGTGTTGTCTGTCCCTCATGTCCTTTTATCAGAGGTCCAGATTCTTGGACTTTCTCTCTCAGTCTTGCTTTTCAGTTTGTTTCAAGTTTTCACTTTGGAGGAGAAAGGTAAATGTGACTAAAGCACACTAGGCTAGACTACGATGAACTAGAGACGGTACACTAGATTCCTTCAGGCTAAACTAGACTAGACTGTTAATTTAACCCCATTACATTCTGCTTTGACATGGTAGTGTTAAACCTATTAGAGAATAATCCCAGTTTAGTTTAATCCTAGTTTAGTTTGACAGTTTAGGATAAATCCCACAATAGACTGATCTTGTTTGATTCCATCTTAAACCCCACTGGCATCTGATGGAGCCTGTTAGGGTTGTGTTTAATCACTTAAAACCAGATTCTAAAAAATTTAACTACATTTTTTAGTTGACAACAAATCAACCTAGATTCTCCAGACTCCTAAACCAGACTACTGCAAGCTGAGTCCGAATCTACTGGTGTTACATTCATATAGATAACAGACAACTAGGTTTAACCTTGTCTCTACATCAGGCTTCTAAAATTACTTAAACCTGAATTTACTTAAACATAACTGACAACTGACTAGACTGTACCAGAGTTAAACTTGACTTTTTCAGGTGAAGTCTGACTCTAGTAGGGTTTAACTCGACTCTTCCACTTTAAATCACACTCAGAAAAGTGAAACCAAAGTGTGAGTTACAGCTTGTTTTTCTGTGTGTGCTCAGTCATCAGCCTCATCAGGGGAAGAGGAGAGGTTTGTCTTGAACAACACACGACCTCTGACCCCACTTATCCTGAACCCCATAAACTTCACCTCCTGCTGGGATGGTTTCGCCCCCGCTTATGAGCCAGCAGTTGGTGCGGAGATGGAGCCGACCTCCCGGCTTCCAACACCGGAGGAAAGGATGAGGCAACAGGCTGAGACAGTGGGCACCAATATAGTCCCTATCAATGTAACAGGTAGGGGACTGGGCCCACATCCAGGTTCTGGTAAAGATCAGACTCAAGTGAGACTTAAACCTGAGATTTGACTCTGGTTTCAGATTCATCTGGGTCCTCACTCTGAGTGAGGCCTTGACTCAGACTCACATTCAACTCAGAGTCCTGACCTGGATTTAAAGCTCTGCTCAGGTTTGGGATTTGACTTGGACTGGGGTCTTAAATTTGACTTGGGACAAACATAATACGTGACTTAAACTCAAGACCAAACTTGCACTTGCAACATGACATGGATTTGAGACTCGACTCAAACTTGGGATTTGATTCAGAATTCACCTTCATTTTAGACTGGGATCAAAAGACTACTCAGACTTCAGATTTGGTTTTGACTTGAGATTTTGCTTATTCTGAAAATTTGAGTCGGGACTCAGCTCCCACCTGAGACTTGACCTGGACTTGAGATTCATCTTAAACCTGAAACTTGATATGAACTTGATTCATGTTGTATATTTGATTCAGCATCTTAAGTTGGGACCTAAATGGAGCTCAGGATTCACTTAGAGACTTGACTCATACTTGGGATTTGACTTGAAACACTTGGGCTTAATACTTGACTCGAAACTCGACTCAGACATGGGACTCTGATGGTGTAACTGGACTCAGGACATTTAAACTGGCAAATCCACTACCTAAACACTTTCTCATGTCTTTGCTGTGTTTGTTGTGTTTTCATGCATCTGCACATTTAAGGTGAGAGTTTTGATCGGCAGGCCAATTTTCGCAGAATGGCTTCCAATGCCGACTCGTTATCCTGGCGACCTTGTAACCTAAGCCGCCACAATAAAGTTACGGGGATACCTGATGGTGTCAGCCAGAAGCCAGGTATAAGCTCCACCTATTCCAACCCTCCTTCAATCAATCTGTGTCTCTTAACGCTTTTTATTTTACAAAGTATTTCTTCTTTTCTCTTCTTCTGTCTCTTCAGACTCGCCTTTGGTTTCTTCAGTTCTTCCCGGCCAGTTCTCCACTGTGGATCAACCTGTGTCATCCTCCTGCACCTACGCCCACCAGCAAAACACCACAGAAGAAGAGGTGGAGGTGAAGGATAGGGCAGAAATCAGAAAGGAGGGGCAGACCACAGTGAGGAGGATTCGATCCCCAAAAGAAGGAGGGATGGCCAGCCTCATGGCCTCCCTCACCTCCTCTCCACGTTTCTGCTCGTCCTCTTTGGAGGTACACAGCCTCCATCATTTGGCAATCAGCTCCTCTGTGAACTCGGAGGCCAGCTGCTACAGTGCCTCCCACAGGGCACAGTTTAGGAGAAATTTTGTCAAATATAACAAAAAAACAAAAACAAAATTAAGATTCTTTTTCTGTTTGTTCTTCCTGTTTTCTTCTCCAGTCACAAGATCTACAGGGTTTCCCCAGCGACTTCCAGCCCCTACTGCCCTTTGACCCCACTGCCAGAGTCACTCCCCTGTCTCCTTTCTCCTCCTCCTCTTTCTTGTCTTCCTCCCCTGTCACCTCCTCCCTCCCCGGCTCCCCCAGCTGTGTCCTCCGGTCAGAGTGGTCCTACCCCAATGATAAGTCTCTGAATGAGGCTGCCCTGCATCACACTTCCACCTCCTCGTCCCACTACCTCTCCTCTTCCTCGATCACAGACTCAGAGTTTTGCAACCAGGTCCTGGATGACCAAGCTGCCACCCAGCACAATGCTCAGTGTTCAAACAGTGGTGGCTCTTACAGCTGCCAGCCCGGCTCTCCCAACTCCAGTGTTCACAGCAGCCAGACCAGGGGCGACTGGAGCAGCATGACCCAAGAGACAAGGTGTGCTTCTGGTGAAGGTTGGAGCTGTGACCCCCTGCCGTCCTCCGGCCGATCTTCCCCTGCCTCCACTGATAGCAATGTCGCACGGTCACCCGCAGCATCTCCCTCCGCAAGTCCAAGCGCCCGCCCCTTCCTCCACTGCGCTCTGACTCTCTGAGACGCCGACCGGGACGTACCAAACCTTCCCGCTCCTCCTCCAGTCCCCGCCTGAAGCGTACCACGCAGCAGACACCCACCTTGTCTCCTTACACCTTCCATGACCCCTGGGTGCCCCAGAGCAACACCAAAACACACCAGAATGGGTTTAACTGTGGAACAATAGCAACGTTTGAACCCTTAAGCCCTGATGGCCAGGCAGCAGCCCCCGGTGACTCTCCTTCCTCTGAGCACCTCTCCCTAAGCTCCAGCCACTCTCATGCCCACGTCTCCACACCTGGATCTCCAGGCTTAGAGGAGGAGGGGTGTAGTCTCAGTCCGCTCCCCCCCCCGGTGGCTACCCCAGCCAGTCTAACACTCCCACTCCTGGCACTCCAGTGTCTTCCCCCCTCAGCCCCTCCTCCCCTGGAGCCTTTTCTCTCCCCCTGACCTCCCCTTCTTCCTCTTCACACTCCCTTCCCTTGTCCCCTCCTGTCTCCTCCTTGCCCCAGACAAAGTCTCGGGGCAAAGGGAGGCCAAAGCCACCAGTACCAGAGAGGAAGTCGTCGCTCCTCTCCTCCCGCTCATCCTCATTCTCCTCCACCTCTTCCCTCTCCTCCTGCACCTCATCAGAGCATCCTCTTCTCCCTGCTCCTCCCCTTCCTCCTTCACCCCCGCCTCTTCTCCCATCTTCATCCCTCCCGACTCCTCCTCCTCTACCTCCCTCATCTCGGCCTCCTCCTCCCCCTTACTCATATGCCATCAGGCAGTCCTGTCATCATGCTCTGGAGTCCACCATGTCATCATCAACTAACTTCCCTCCTCCCTCATCATCTCCTCTTCCTCCCCCTTCAGAACTCCCAGAATCATCACTCGCTGAACTTCCTCCCCCACTGCCACCTCCTACTCTTCCTCCCCTCTCCACATCCTCTCCCACTCCCCCTCCATCAACCCTTGGCAAGTGCCAAAAACACTGTGCTAAACTGGCAACACCCCCCCACCCTCTGGTCACTGCCCAGGCATTACAGGGCGTCAAACTTCGCTCTGTCAAGAAGCAGGAAGGGCAGCTCACTAGCACTGGTCTAGTGACTGCTGCATCTGCTGATGCTACACTTAACAACCAAGCTGGCATGCTGTCAGCTAGTGCTAACCATGCTAACACTAGCCATCATCTGCCAAGCAAAGAAGCTTGTCCAGACTGTGCTGTGGCCAATGCTAGGTTTGATGGGATGACCAGCACTGATGGTAAACTAGCTGGACCTGGGTCACACAGTGCTGTCTCTAGTCTTAGTAGCAGTGAAGCTACAGGCTCTCATGACCTAGCCAGAGCTGATGCAAAGCAGCCTGGACTCAAATTAGATCATGATTCCTGTAACCTAACACAAACTATGATGAGGACACCAAACAATGAGTCCACTCATGCTAGCCTTCAGAGCCCACCAGATATTGTTCGTAACCCAGCTAATCAAAGAAGCCCTGGGTCTCAGGGGGCCACTGAACAAGAGAGGAAAGAGAGAGCCATGTATGCTGTGCTGGCAAACAGTGGACATTCCAGTCCTGGTAGTCACTGGGAGAAGACATCTTACGGTACTGATAAAAATCACATCAGCAAAATCATCAAACTTTCTTCCTCACAACATCAACAGGCCCGTGATACAGTGTTAACAGACACTGTGCCAACGGAGTCTGCAGAGAAACAGTGGAACACTGAGGATGCTGGGCACAAAGATACTTCATACTGGACCCTGTCTGGAACAAACCGAGGGTCTCACAGAGAAAGCAAGAGAATGCTGTCTGAGAGCAAAGATGAAGTGGACACCGATGACAAGAATAGTTCAGAAAAGTGGAGTCACAGAGCAGCTGGTGGAGATTCCACAGCAGACACTGATGCAAATCAGAGTAATAGCATCTTTAAGCCACGTGGCCAGGGGAAACTGCGCTCCCCAGAGAAGCCAGTCCCACCAAAGAAGCCTGATCTGTGTATCTTGGTGTCCCCCGAGGCCAGACGGGGACAAATCACAGCACCACCTGCTCATCCCGGCTGCACACCTTTGCACACACAACATGCACCTTCACTAAAGCACTTGGCCTGCACCAGTGGAGAAACAACCACTCCTGACCAGTCACTGACCCACACAACTTCACCTCCACACTCAGTAAGCACACCTGTTGATGTCACCACACACTCACCCAGCAGCTCCCCTAAGATGCAGAAGCCACCAAATTTACACAGTAAGACTGATCTCTCAGTGACCTCACCCAGAACAACTACACCACGGTCTGCTCCCAAAAACCCAGGGGAGGAAGCCAGAGGCACCTCTGGGACCTATGGCACTCTGGAGAGCACTGGTGCTTCACAGACTCAGAGCACTACAGGGACCCAGGGGACCTGTAGCACCTTAGGGAAGTCAGGAGCCAGCGGAGCTACCTCCACCCAAACTGGACGAACAGACTGGCATCGTGCTGAGATCCTGAGGACGAGTGCAGATGATGAGAGAATATTTCAAAAGAGAATGATGAGGTCATCGCTGGCTGAAGATGAAGAGGAAGATGAGAAGGAAAGGGTGGAACAAAGAGGGATGAATACGACAGTGATGATGATGTCGTCTTTCACAAAGAAGAAAGACAGGGCAAAGAAGAGGAGGAAGAGGAGGGTGGGCAGGCAGCTGCTAATGATGTCACCAAAAATGGAGCTCTCCCCCTCTTCATCAACATCATTGTCATCATCATCCTCCTCCTCATCTGGAGATGAACGTGATGTGGTGAAAGACAGAATAATGCCAACAGAGAAAGTGAGGATGATGACAGAAGTGTGTGATGAAGAGTCAAGTGACTCTGAAAGCTCCTGCGCTCTGAACCATCACAGCAGGAGCTCCCTCTGCAGCACAGTGTCCACTGGGAGCCTGCAGGGGAAGCTGTCGCTTCCTCACCGCCTTATACAGGAAAACGAGGAAGAAAGGAGGGGTCAAGAGGCACAGGAGAGCAAAGCAGCTCCAGGCAGTAAGCTGGGTTCACTGCAATCCATCCTGCCAGAACAGGAAGCGTTGCCAATCAGACGTAAGGCTGCCTGACAGTAGAGAGTGATTACTAACAGTGCACACGGTGCACTGGCCCTGTCAGCTGTTAGAGCAGTGATACTCTGTGTCTACTATTAACTCAAGTGCTTCTTTGTTGCTCTGTCCAGATGATGTGTTCCTCGGTGTTTCAGCGGATCAGATGTTTGTTTCTGGTCAACCACGAACCACAGAGGACCTGTTCGCTGTCATCCACAGGTAGCGCCACTCAGACACACAGCACACCACCACCATACCAGCCCATTGACCATGCTCTCATGTGTCTGCTTGATTCCTCCCTCTGCCTCTGTGGAGCAGTGCACTATGGGAGGGCACAGCGTGAATGCACCTGGCAGGCAGGGCTCGTGTGCAGGTAAAGCTGTGATGGTCACTGTAGGGGCAATAGATGGAGTTTGGTTCCTGATCCTGGGCAGAGCAATGCCCACCAAGTTCCTTCCTTGATCCCTTAGATTTCCCCCTTCCATATCTAGTGGGCATATTTATTTCATGTCCTGTAAACTGAGCCATGTGGTATCCCTGTTCCCTGACTTGAAACCATCTGTTCTTTCTTCCCCAGCTAATAAATCCCTCTGTTGCCCTGTTATGAAGTTATTTCCTCCTTGTTCCCCAACTACTCTGATGTTGTGCTTCTTGTTTTCCTTCTCATCACCGGACGCTTCCTTACCTTACCTTGAAATTTTGTTTTGGCAAATGGCGGCAGGATGGGACAGAGCACCTTGCTCAAGGGAAGTTTGACCAGACTTGACAGACCTCAGATCAGTGTGCAACCTGTAAATATTCTATCTGTATTGCTGTTAAATATTACAGGCTCGTTCTCAGCCACAACAGTTGTTGTGCAGATTTATAGACAAATGTTTAAACTTCAGCTGTGAACATTATTTTTTCACTTTCTTCAAAATGTCTTTAAGGTGCACAAGGACGATGGAACAAGAAAAGTTTGCAGGCATTTTAATGTGAGTTTGCTGATGGTGTGAGAGCACAGCGTGCAGGTCTGTAACTACAATCGGTTGTGATGTTTGGCGCTACAGCTCATTTAATGCTACAGACCTGTCACCTTTGAGCAGCCAGCCTGTCTATTAAGCTGTTATTCAGGTAGTGTGGGGTCTGGTTTTAGTTCTGTCGGTGGTTCAGATTCATAATCTCAGACCAGCCTCCTCAGGTGCCCTCTGCGTCTCACGGTGATATAGCATGGGCCGAGAGCGTTTTGTTCAGTGTATGCCAGGTTTTCTCTGAGCTCCAGTTCCATGCCAAATCCATCGCTTGCTCCTCCTGAAAAGCTACCGAGCTGGAAAGCGTCTTAGCCTGCATGACGACCTGTAGCAGCGAGCTGCCACTAGCTGCTGTGTAACTGCGTATTGCGCCGCTTTTAATTAGGTAATTTTGATAGTTATTGCTTACTACTTTGTTCTGTTTATAAAAACATTCCTGACATCAATAAAAAGCCACAATAAATTAACATTGATAATCTTGCAGAAGCCTTGGCAAATAAACCCATAAACTCTAACCCCTTGGCCTGTTCCCAGGGGACCCCAGGGTGCCACCACTCGCACTTTGGGAACCACTGCCTTAGATGGTACTGTTACACAACCGAGCAAGAACGTATGGTCTTTGTCTGTCTCCCTCAGGTCTAAAAAGAAAATGCTGGGACGGAGGGCTTCAGAAGAAGACAGACATTGCATCATGTCTTCCTCCTCTTCTTCCTCCTCCTCACTGCCGGTAGCCCCTGCTGACCCCTTGCCCCTCCTAACCAAGCCTGCAGCCCTCACAAGTCAAAGGTCAATGAGAAGCGAGAGCTTCAAGGCTCTCCTGCTTAAGAAGGGCACTCGGTCCGATGCATCTTCTCGAATCTCAGCCGTGGAGCGGCTCTGCAGAGTTTCTGCCTCTGCTTCCACTACTGTGTCGTCACTGCCACCCCCAGCAGACCAACCCCAGCATACACCCACAGGTTTGTACCAGGACATTGATGCCCACCTGACACTGGATGTACCACTGCCCCCCACGTCTCTGTGCACTCAGAACTTCCCTGTTACACTGAGGCAGAGGGATCTAACACAGAATCACCTCCTCTTCACCTCCTCCTCTCCTGTCTTCTTCCTCTCATCCTCCTCCTCCATGCGTCCTCGCTCCCTCACTCCTCCCTGCTTCACCAGCCGACGTTTTGCCGCTCGCTGCCATCTCTATGTCACCCCCATGACCGCCATCTCTGAGGGGGAATGTGAGGAGGAACAAGAGGAAGACAAAGCTTTTGAGACTCCAGGAGCCGAAGGTGAATTGAGCCCGAGATTGGTTGAAATTTCTTGATGTAAAGAGGCAGCTCGGATTAGGTCTAAAGCAGAAATAAAACTGGCTTTGTGATGCTTTGCCGCGACTCCACATGAACAGCTGAACTGAACAACAGACCTCATCAGGTTTCAGCTGTCAGCCAACATGTTGCACTGCCTCAGCAAACTGGACTGGACTCCCCACCACCTGACATATTTAACTGAATGTACCTTTCTGATGAGGAACGTGTCTCTGGGAGCCACACTTACAGTATAAACTACAGAAGCCTGGAGGGGACATGTGTAGCGAAGCTTCATGGATTTTCTCCTGACAAATCACAGTCTCAAGAAAACAAGCTCGATGCAGTGACACCGCAACACCTCCAGTTAATGTGCCTGCTTTTAGACAGTGGTCATCATGCTACTTATTTGTCTGTTTTCCAAATTGCATGGACATTAAACCTCAAATGTTTGTCTTCTCTTTCTTCTACACAAGAAGCTGACTTGTGCTCTTCAGCTTGTTGTCTTGAGATCTGATTAAATGATAATTGTAGTATAACAATAATAATGTCAAGCAGTTACATTGTAAAGTTTTACTTAACTTTATACCACAGTAAAATTGTTTCTGCTCCGGGGGAGTATCAAAAAACTTTTTTCTGATTCTAATGATAACAAATCAGAGTTTACTCAGTGATGGGAGCTCGGTAGATTGGGTTGGATTATGCCAGAGTAAATATTCCAGCCTCTCTGTGAAACTAACTTATACTGCTCTTGTTTTAAATGGAAGGGAGTTTCTTTTTTCATGCAAACACATCAACAGATGTAACTGTGGGAGAAAGAGGATGAGATGGGTTCAGCTCTCCCCCAGTCTGAAAACACACCTCAGATGATCATTGTAGTAACTTCCACCACTGTAAACAGCCGTGTCATGACAATGTTGATTTAGCTCAAATATCACAAGGTGAGAATTCTACTCTAGTAGGTTTTGTGGAGTCGCTCATGTTGATGATCATAAAGTCCCTGATCTGCAGGAGTTTGTTCTGTTTCAGTGGTCGCCTGAGCAAAGTGAAAGCAGCTCGATGGTGCAGGTCATGTTGTACTGAGCTGAGCAACAGAACCGCCTGTTGATGTGTTTAGTTTAAGTTTTGACCCAACACTATTATTATGAGGCCCATTTTTATGTTAATACCAGCAACACCAACACTGTTATTTATAAGAGATGTGGTTTGTCATTTATTGTAAATAACCCTGTTTCATCTTTCTCTCTCTCCATGTTTACTTGTTTCTACAACAGTTTTTCTCTATGTTGCTTCCTTTCTTTTCTGTAGCATTTTTCAGTTCCAGCCTCCACCATAATGGGCTGTGGAACCTCCGTTTCAACTCTTAGATTTGTTCTTTGTTTCTCAAAGTAGGAAATAGGAAGACAGCACTGCAGTCTGAGTTTCTACTGTGGAGCCTCTGAGATTAGGAGCATAATAATCTTCTTTGTGTGAATGTAAGAGGTTCAGATATACCATATTAATCGTAAAATAAATCTAATATAACTGGAATAAAAGAGAAAGACACTGTGAGGAAAAGAAATGGAAGTGGAAGTGATGAACAGGAGGAAGTAGAAAACAAAGTATATTTGTATGTGTGGAGAAACGGCAAAATGCTCAAAGACGGGAAACAGAAAGTTATGGAAATGTAAAAAAGGAAAATGTAAAGAGTGTGAACAAAAAATGATGGAAGCAATAAAACTGAGTTTCTGAAGTTGTGATTTATTGGTGCACAAGACAACAGCCGGGCTCTGTGTTTTTTAAAAGGGGAAAGGACAAAATCACGAGCAGCAGTATAATTTAACCTCCCAAAGCATCTACTGAATTTAGTGAAGACCTATAAGAGTCCATCAAACCTCCTCAACAACTTGGAACCTCCTTATAACCTGTGAAACATCCATACACAAACAGGTGAACCTCCTTAAGAACCTCTGGTGCAGCCTACCAACCTACCAACTATGAGCTCCAATTCAGATGAATGTTTGTGTCTATTGGTCAAAAACAAAACCCTTCCTGGAAGTCTCTCACCCCAGTTAGTGAAGTCACAGCAGGTGTTTTCCACAGGAGCAAACAGAGAGCAGACCAGAAACAGTTTTATACTGTTAGACTAGAGGTAAGAGTGTGTGATATCAGAAATGATCATGCTGCAGTCTGCATGTGCGGCCACAGGGTGGTGCTGTGGCTCCATCCTGGTTTTCCATGTGGTTCAAACACTGCAAGAGCTGCCTCCTCTCAGGCTGTTTAGAGTTTCACTTGTGTCTGTGGGTTTTGTTGCACATGGTTTAATGAGGTTTAAAGGATTCTTGAAAAGATTTCAGGGGCTCTTCGGGAGTTTTAAGTGGTCTTAAGAGTCTTCCAGAGATTTTGATGAGACTCCAGAAGCTGGGGAGATTTCAGGTTTAAGATATTTTGGGGCTGCACCAAAGGTTCTTACGGAGGTTCACCAGTTTGGGTATGGGTGTTTCACAGGTTATAAGGAGGTTCCAAGTTGTTGAGGAGGTTTGATGGACTCTTGTGGCTCTTTGCTAGATTCAGTGGATGCTTTGGGAGGTTCCACAGATGAATGATGTTTCAGAGGCTCTGATGAAGTTTCAAAAATGTTTAAGAGGGTGAAAAGTAATTTTAAGGATCTTTAATTAAGTTTAACAGGTTCCAGATATTTGTAGAGATATTTCAAATGTTCTGGGGATGTTTTAGTTTGTTGAAAGGGATGAGTTGTTCTGCTCAACTCAGGGGTCCATGAAGAACTATATGAAACCCTGGGGGAGTTCCTGAAATTTGTCAAGGTTTTTAAAGTGGTGTAGAATTTCCTTAGAGATTTAAAGCCAAAGATTAAGCTAATCAGAGGCCTTGGGGTTTAAAGTGTTCTTGAAAAAAATCAAAGATCATTTATGTGGTTACTGGAAAGGTTTCAGAGGTTTTGAAAGAATCCATAGAGGTGGCTGAGAGAGTCTGAACAGTTGTGCAGATTTCATGGGGGGCTTTAATGAAGCTGAGGAGCTGTGGGCGGTCTTCCAGAGAAGGGAAAGGGTTTTCCAGAGGTTCTTAAGAAGGTCTGAAAAGTTATTGAGGTTTAAGGTGTTCTGGGCCACGACTCAAAGGCTCTTGAAGGTCCAGGTGTTTGCTTTAGTTCCACAGGTGATGAAGCCACTACAGATTCTTGTGGATGTTCCAGGAGGCTTTAATGAGGTTTAAGAGCTGGTTTTAGTGTTAGTGTTGTTTTAGGCCTTTCAGCTAATCAAGTGTTATTGAACTTTTGGATGAGTGCTGTGTCAGTGGGCTAACAGTTTGCTGACAGCAGGCGTGTGTGAGGAATGAAAACACGATGAGAGCCTGTCTGAACAGAACGCTTCCACCCTGTGTTTAGCTTTTCTTACATCTCTCAACACAATGAAACTGCACTGCTGTGACAGGTGTTTTGTCTGGTTTATTTACTTAACAAATCTTCTGTCTCTTTCACTTTTCACTTCTATCCTGCTTGAGGACCTTAGGAGAGCTCCAGGGCAGGGCTTCAGTTGTACATGTTCCAGGTCAACATTACGCCACAGATGGAGCTTTTTTGAAGAAGGTTTGGAGTTGTTGAAGAGAATTTCTGGCTTGTCGGGTTGGTGAAGATGTCTCAGTGCTTCGTTGAGTTTCAGAGGGCTTGTAATGGGATGGGGAGGGGATTCTTGTGTAGGTTCCAGGATATTTGTGAAGGTTTCAGAGGTTCATGAGGAAAAAGCTGAAATAAGCTTCAGTAGACTCCATGAGCCTCATAATGTGGCTATAAAGTGGGCTGCAGGGATAATTGAGGAGGTTCTGGGGGTTTTCCTAGAGGCCTCACTGAGAATTTTTAGGTTCCCTAAGAAGTCCCTGGCACTGCTAAGGTTAAATGGCTTCAGAGTGTTGTTAAGGACATTTAATGTGCTCCTGGGGGAGGTTCCCGAGGTTCTTTGGAGACGTTCCAAAGCGGGACATGTAGTAAACACTACAGCACTGTGGTACAGGCCTGGATGTGTACAAAGTGGAGTTAATGGCCGTGAGAAAACTTTGCCAGCACTGCAGTGACCTGTGTGAATAAACAGCCACCACTCTGAGATGCAGGGCGTCATTCCTCTACTAACCTACCCTTAAACCATGTATAAATACTGGTTTGAAGTCTGTTGATACTTGCATGAACATGTACATACTGTATATACAAGTGCACATGCTGTGTGACCTGTCAGGTAAATCCCCATTCCTACACACTAAATGTGTATCTACTAATGTGTTTACATATTGGATCCAGCAGCAGTCAGAGCAGCTGAGTGACTTGATATCTAATAGAGCAGATGATCAAATAAGGGTGGAGCTGCCAGTACAGTCCGCTGGTCACACCAACAGGAAGAGTGACATTCTGACAGTTTGGCTGCTCCCCAGGCTCCATTACTCCATGTTGTGTCAGGTTATTGTTGTAAACTGGTGTCTTGTGTTCCAGTTTGTGTTGTCCTGTAGTGAGTGGTTTAAAGTCATTATTCTCATCTTCACCTGTGTTCTCGATAAAGAGCTCCTTTCCTATGGGCCCTCTTACTTGGCCCTCGCTGAAACTCTCCAAATTATCCCTGAAACCTTCTTTGGGAAACCTCTGAAATCTTCTGCAGCCCTAGTACCCCTCACATACTCCATAATATTCTTCTGAAATCCTGTTTGAAATCCCCAAAACCTGGGGGGCACCAACCTCTGGTAAACCCTCATGTAAAGATTCAGAATCACACAGCGACCACAAACAACACACTTTTGCATCATGAATCTCTTTGTGATCATGAAATGTTTCTATGAGGACATTTTGCATCACTTCCTGGTCACTTTGTGTCTGTTTTGCATCTCCTTATGCTCATATGTGTCTCATCACAAAGGTGTGGACACAGTTTCCCTTTGAGTTGAATGGGAAAGTCTGTCCACACTTGTGCATCTCTTTGTTATGGGTTTGTGCTAGTTTGTGGTCACTTTGCATTAGTTTATGGTTGTTTAAAATCTCTTAGTCCTGGTTTGATGGAACTCCCGGTCACCTCCTGCCGGTCACCATGCAGCAGACTCCAGACTGCAGCACCAGAGATGGGATCTTCTGTTATTAAATGTTGTTGTGCCTCAAAATGTGGTTGGAATCTGCAGCCCCCAAATCTAAACTGGCAAAGAGGAGTAAAAGCATGTTTCTTCCTCTCCATTGAGAGGGAGTGGCGCGCTGCTGAAGCAACATCCCTGATCTGTCAATCTTAATGTGCATGTGAACCACCACCTCTCTTCTCCTCCTCCTCCTCCTCCTCCTCCTCCCGTATTTCCGTGCTCTGGCAGAGCTGGAGCGCGTGGACAGAAGGCACAGAGCATTGTGAGCGGAGAAGGAGCGCGCAGCGCACACAGACCTGATCAACCTGATCGATAGGAGGGAATCGATTCACTCAAACAGCGTCCTGGAGCTATAGGTTGTCTCGGGCCAAGCGCTGCTTTAAGTGGTCTCCAACATTAACCCGGGACGACTTCTCTTAGGTCTGCGGTCGGAGATATGACCCCGTCCGGCTCTATGACAGCTGCTGCCGGGAGGACCGGCTCATGACGAGGATGAGGATGAAGGTGCTTCTCCCGCTCCCCGCGCTCCATCAGCGACCCGAGCAGGTCTAAGATGCCACCGGGCCCCGGTGCTTGGCACGGGCCTCGGATCAAGAGTAACCCGGGATAATAAAACACAAAACGATACAAATCAAACGAAAAACTCCACCAGCTGGTGAAATCGGTCCGGTGCGAACCGGGGCGGAAAACCCGGGACCAGTGAGCGGTACGCCGGGAGCAGAGGCGGCAGAGAGGTACCTGTCACTACCAGGGAGTGTGTGGACGCGCAGCCGGAGTTAAACAGCGGGGCCAGAGACACAGTCTCGTGTGGTTAACCTCGACTCTGTCACTGCACAAACGCGTTTTGCATCAAAAATCTGACAGTTTCGTAGATTTCATAATATGTGTATTTTCATATATAAACTGCAAATTTGTAAATGTGATCGTTTCATTTGGACTTAAAAGCCCAACGAGTTTGCACTGGGCGTCTGAGTGAAATCACGTTTTAGATGTTGTACAGTTACTGATCACAGTAACGATGTAACACAGATCAGATCTCACATGTATATCGAATCTCCCAAAGTGTATTCTGCACAGTTTCAGGCTGAGTCGTTTCCAAGAGTTTTCCTGGAAAGAATTTGGTGCAAAAAGTAGAAAAATGCGTCAGTTCTTGAACGAAAAAGTCAATTTAACCCAATTATTAAATATCTTTAACATTATTGTGTAATGCGATTTATAACAGCAGCAGATGTAAATAAAATAAAATAAATCTTTAGTAAAACGGGGCAACAAAAGAAGCAGTGTTTTGTAAAGTTTTGGTTTATTTCCTTCACGTTGCACTGAAATGATTAAATGCAAACTGAGTGAACGCCCTTTAGTCCTGTCCTGGATCTTTCTGTCATATCACACGATCTTCATCTTTGTACGTGTTCAAATTGTCATTTTATCCGGAGAACTTTGGGTTTAGGGTTCATTCCTGCCCTGAACACAGAACCTCGAGGTCTATTTGCTGTATATTATATGATCGAAAGGAGTTGGATGAATCACTTGTTTGTCTTAAACATAGTGAATAATCACACACTCCGCTTCCAGCCGTTTGACAGACTCTGTCCCCCCCAGTGA